GCTGCTCCTGGTAAAACAAGTTTTGCTCCCATACAGAGCAGATTGCTACCTTCTGACTTTCCTATAAGGGATGAAGTTCATGAGAGTAGCCTGATTCAGGGCTGTTATTATTTCCTTCTAGTTTAAAAGTGGGAGAGGGAAAGGAAAGGGACTCTGTTTCTTTGGTATGCCGGAGAACCTAGCCTTTGGGATAAAGGCTGGTACTGTGCATGACTGATTGGAAAGCCAGGTCTGGGGATGAAGCGGGGAGGAGCGGGCAGATGCAGCTGGGTTGTGCAGTTGGGGTGGGACATGAATTGTCAAGGCCATGATCTACAGCCTAGCATGATCCAAGGACAAGACAGTCGCTTTCCAATGCCAAAGAGTCTTTTCCTAGTGTTACACTGATCTGCTATTTTGAGATTCTAGAGCCTTTTTTTTTTTTGACTTTAAGCTTCATTGTTACTTTCGAGGTATGAAAAATATAATCAGAAATCTCATGGGAAGTCAGGCGTGGTGACACAGAAGTCTGAAATCCTCGTACTACAGAGGCTGAGGCAGGATCTCCTGAGTTTGGAGTCGGTGAGGCAACATAGTAAGGCCTCATCTCAAAACAAAACAAAACAAAACAAAACAAAACAAAAAAAAACATTGCTTTGCCCCAACAGCATCAGAACAGACCATTGAAGCAGTCTAGCCAGACTGATTTTAGAATATTTCAATTTGGTTTGGGGCAGAATTGATTTCTATAATTTACCAATAGCAGTGTCTGGGATTATTTTCATGGGAGCTGCTGGGAGATCTCTCTGGGAATACTACTGAACTTGGTGGTGCACCTGGGCAACCACCATCCTGCTGCATAGGACCTCTTCTTCCTGACTCTGTTGGAGGTGCCACCCTCTGCAGAATCTGTGTCCCACCACAGGCCTGCACAGTCACTCTGGGTGAAAATGGAGTTACTGATGCCTGTCTAAGGATCCAATGAGAGATGCAGCTCAGGGCTGATGTGTAACCATCCTGCAACCTCGTGAAAGCCACTCAAGTGATCTGTGGCAGTGTCACTGGGCTCTGGTTGTACAGCCTTCTCATCCTAGGTCAGACAAGATCCCCCACGTATCCTTCCTAAGAGCCTTCCTGCTAGAGAGGCTCCTTATGCTCAAATATTTTTACACAGTCCAGAGGCAGAAGAGACTGAAGCCACTCACAAGGTTGAGTAGGCCAGCCAGAGTCTGCTGGGTCCTCACTGATCTCTGGCATTTGGGACAGTGTGCTACTGTGCATTTAGTGCAGAGGCTTTGCCCTCAGATTGCTGAGGAAGACCCCACAGAGCACATGGAAAGCCATACCTATCCAGCAGTGCTGCTGTAGCTGCTGTGCAGGCCTGGGAATGCTTCCTCCTCACTAGGCCTGGCCTTGCCACAAAAGGAAAGCCCACGTGCTGAGCTGGCTCCCAAGGTGTACCTTGGGAAGGAGAAAGCTCACCCTTCCCAGAAGGTAGCTTTAGTCACCAGCAAGTATTCCTCAACAGCAGCATTCACAGCTCAGACTAGTCAAATACAGTTCTACTGTGATGAGAGGTTGAAAGTCATTTCTGAATACACTCATAGTGCTGATTGCCAAAGGACAGAGGTCTCATTACTGTGGGGGAGAATGCAGGCCAGCTGGCGTGGTCAGGACCAGGTCCAAACAGCAGGTTTAATCAGAGTGAGCCTCATGGAGGGGAGAGACTGAGCAATGGAGGAGCATCCCCAGAGAGTGGAGGGTAGGCAGAGGCAGCAAGCAGAGAACATTGCACTTGGGAGCTGCCTGCACTGGCTGGAGCCAAATATTTGGGTGCGGAAGGCCACGCTGGGGCCAGATTGCAGAAGGCTTTAAATGTCAGGCAAAGGAATTTATCAAGGGAATGAAATGATCAAACAGGTGTTTCAGGAAGATAAATTTGAAGAGAATGTGCAGGATGGATTGGAAAATCTGGAAGCATGGCAACAATTAGGGGGCCATGAGATTAATTAGGCTGTTGCAGTAATCCTGTGTGAGTTGATAAGGGTGTAAATGAGCGGAGTGGTGGCAGAAATGGAGAGGGACAGCTGCAAGGGACATTGTTGAGGAAGAATGGATGGGGTTTGTGGCCTGATTGGATTGGGGACCCAGGGAGCTCAAGTTGACAGCAGGGTTCTGAGTGTGGGCAACTGGCAGTAGAGAGCAGAGAAGGGACGTTAGTAGAGGGAGCTGGTTTTGCAGATGTGAACCGAGTTCCAGATGCAGAGTCTACAGAATACCCAACTGCAAATGTCTGACAGGTGTTTAACAAAGCTCAGGAGAGATGTGATGAGTGGTGATGGATCTAGGAATCAGCCTGAGAAGTGAGACATGAACTTGCAGGATGAATGAGCTCACCAAGGAAAGAATACACAGTGAAGGCTGGCCTCGGGGGGGAAGTCCACATGAGGGTTTTACATCACAAAGCCATGTTAGAAAAGATCACTCTGCACATGTGTGTCTTTGCCATTAAAATATCATCCTGGCGTAGTGGCACACGTCTTTAATCCCAGCACTCGGGAGGCAGAGGCAGGCCTTGTGAGTTCAAGGCCAGCCTGGTCTACATAGTGAGTTCAGGTCAGCTGGGACTACAAGGAGACCCTGTCTCAAAAAGACAAAAAAAAAAAACAAAAAAAAAAAAAAAAAAAAAAAAAAAAAAAAATCAGCCTGAAGAAGGTATTAGTTTGAGAAAACCAAGCAATGTAGTCTGTTTGTCTCAGTGGGAACTAAATTATAAATGTCTTCAGTATGCTCTAAAACAAATTTAGTTTAAGTAAAGTCTGGTATTGATGAAGAAAAAGGTAAATGTCACAGTGAACATAGATCTGATCCTACAGGAGTCAAGCAGTGAAAAAGAAACATGTGACATCCATCCTAGGAGTAACATTTGTTTAGCAATATTAGTAGATGCTGACTCACGTTAAAACAAGTTCCAAGAAATTTGCTGTATTTGGGGCTGGGGATATTATCTCAGAGGTACAATGTTAACATGTGCCCTGGGTTCAGTCCCCAGCAATGAAAAACAACCACCATTCCCTCAAATAAAACAAAAACAAAAACTTTGCTATCTTTCTATAGAAGGAGTTCAACCTAATTCACCAAAGCAAATTTCAAAAATTATTGTGGTTTTACTTTTTGAGGCAAGGTACCATGTAGCCTAGTTTAGTCTTGAACTCATGATCCTCCTGCCTCAGGCTCACAAGTAGTTGAGGTTTACCAGCATGCCCCACCATGCCTTGTCAATGTGTATATTATTTAAAATAAGAGGTATTATTTATGTACAATTTGTTCAAACATTTGTAAAGAAAAATGCTATAGGAAAGCTACCTATAATACAGCAATCCATACCACTATATAGACAAAGCTTCTTTTTACATAGGAAATGTGTGTGTGTGTGTGTGTGTGTGTGTGTGTGTGTGTGTGTGTGTAAGCCTGGTTGGCTGGGAACTCAGAAATCTGCCTACATCTGCCTGTGAGTGCTGGGATTAAAGGCATGTATCACCACTCCTGGCCATTATGCTGTATTTTTTGATGGTCACAAATATTGTAGGGTTGGTGGTGTGTCTCATGCATTGTTAAAAATAAAATTCAACTGCTTTTAATAAGACACATGCAACTGTACATTTAATAACACAGTAATCAATACTCCATGACATTTTCAATACCTTTTGAAATCACAGATCCAAATTTTAATATGTTCTTATAATTAACATGTTTAAGTTGTATGAGTAATATGAGATGCGTACATAATACTTCAGAAGATAGGGGTTTTAACCAGCTCCAGTTTATAACACAAATGATGGAAAAGTTGTCTTTAAAAACATGTTCATTGGGGCTGGAGAGATGGCTCAGCAGTTAAGAGCACTGTCTGCTCTTCCAGAGGACCTGAGTTCAATTCCAGCACCCACACGGTATCTAACCACCATCCTAACTCCAGTTCCAAGGGACCTGACACCCTTTTCTGGCCTCTGTCCCCTTTGTACGACACCGGTACACTTACATAAATGCAGGCAAAACACCCATACACATTAAAAACAAACAAATAAAAACCCAAAACATGTTCATGGTTTGGTGTGGTAACACAAGCTTTTAATCTCAGCACTCAGGAGGCAGGGGCAGGTGGATATTTGAGTTTGAGGCCAGCCTGGTTTACATAGTGAGTTCTAGGTCAGCCAGGGCTACATAGTGAGACCCTGTCTCAGGAAAAAAAAAAAAAAGGAAAATTACTACTTCAAGTACATATAGGAAACAGAGATGAGGAATTGAGTGCAATTTAGAAACTTGGTATCTTTTTACTGTATCTAAAAAGTTATCTAAAAATCTGAAATGGACTAGGATCTTACAGAAGGGAGGTATAGGGGCTGAGAAAGTGCGGCTTGACATTGGAGTGGCTGCTGTTCACAAACAAGGCTCTGGGTTCAGTCCCTAAAGCCACCCCCAACACAATCTCTGCAGCAAGATGGTTCAGCAGATAAGTGTTTGCTGAGTTCAATCCTGGAACTCACATACAGGTGGGAGGAGAGAACTGACTTGTGCATTGTGGCATGTGCACTCACAAACACATGTATACACACAATAATAATACATTAAAAATAACAAGTATTATGTAATAGTGAAATTGAGTTGCTAAAACCAAAGTAGTAAACCATTTTCTTGATGTCCTCAGACTTTTAACTAAAACCTAAAAAGTTTAATTTTATCAGCTAAATGTAATGTGAGCTGACCTTTCAAGATGCCAATATTATCAAATCTCTTTTAATATTAAAAACCACCAACAGGAGGCTGGGAGATAGTTCAGCAGTATTAATTACCATATTACTTAGAAATTAATTTCATTTTTGCTTTAGGCGGACTTGTAACACTGGGGAAATATAAAGATAAAACAAAGAAAATTAGCAACTTTCTTTTTAAGTACTTACACTACTAAAGAACAATGAAAAATTCTTTTTTTGTGGTGGAAGAATCAGGCAGACAATTCTTACTGGGTTTACAATGAAAAGGAGTCCTTAAGTTTATTTATTTAAAGGGAAAAAACACTATTTCACATCGATGGGGTTGTTAGTTTTACAGTTATCAAGGTAATGTTTCTTGGAATAGAGGATTCAGGGTTTATTTTCACAAGTAGCTTCATGATAGCTCATTTTTGGTTAACTAACAAGTCTACAAAACACACATTGTCTTGTTTCAGTCGGAAGACGCAGTGGCTCAAAGCTGCTTACATTCAACTTTTCACTTCAATAAAATAAAAGTTCCAGTGTTCCAATTAAATGATCCACTACTCACCAAAAATCCATAAAATATTCACACCGGATAGACCAAGATTAACTCTCCTACAAAGAAAGAAAGAACAGTTTTAGTATTATTGCTTGCCCAAGCATTTAAGGTCTTTTTCTAGTAACACAAGAATAGAAGGGGTATTTGTTTAATTAGTGAGACCTACTGTGACTCAGCAGTAAATTACGTTACATACAGCATAGCAGGGGAATTCAAGAAACAGTAATTACTCTCTTAACTGTGCTTAAAACTTAACTTTAGAATAAACAGATTTATGGAGTGCTGAAAATTAATTTTTCATTGGACTTCAAGAACTACTACACTAGATAATAGATAACAAAATAATTTTAGTAAAATTAAAGTGCCAATTAAATTTTTGAACGAAGGCTATAGAGATGTTAGGCCTCTCAGAGAATTTTACTAGCTTGATTTGAATTAGGGATTTACTGATTATTAGGGATGCCTTGGTAAGTTTTTATATATGTATTATTAATATATCTTGAGTGAAATCATATTGCTCATGACAAAAAGACAAATATATCCTAGTGATATAGTAGAATTTTGCCTAAAGGGGCTATCCAAACTATCTGTAAGGGAGAAGAGGGGCAACAACCCCACAATATCCAAAAGAAATCAGCCACACCTAAAACTGAAGACTAGTCTGTGTACCATGGAACTGTGGGAAGGAATATCTTCAAGTGGTTATCACTGTGAAATAGTAACTATTCATCTCTGTTGTCAACTTTTAGCTGGGGCTCTGAGTCATTCATGTCCTAGAAGCTACAGGATGGTAACTTTTTAAAAAATTATTTATCTAATAGCCACATAATTAGAAGAAGCATTTCATTACAACAGCATTGACATAGTCAATAACAATTTCCAGAGTTAAGATGCATCTCTTTCAATATTCGTTGTAAATTTTTAGGTTTACAGTTGAATTAATACAGTTATACAATATTGTACTCAGTATAAACCCTATAAGACCCAAAATTAAATGAGAGGATGGTAACTTTTAACTGGCCTGATGATCCCCAGGATCCACATGGCAGAAGGAGAGAACCAACTCCTGCAAGATGTTCTCTAGTCTCTACTCATGTGCCACGGCATGAGCTCCACCCTAATAAATAAACATTACAATTTTTTTTTTTTTTTTGTCTTTTTGAGACAGGGTCTCCCTGTAGCCCCAGCTGTCCTAGAACTCACTATGTAGACCAGGCTGGCCTTGAACTCACAGAGATCCGCCTGCTTCTGCCTCCCAAGTGCTGGGATTAAAGGCGTGCGCCACCACACCCAGCTTGTTCATTGTTTTTTTAAAAAATTTTTTTAAATTATTATTTTTATTTTATGTGTATGAGTGTATTGCCTGCATGTATGTGACTGCACCCGTGTTGTGCAATGCTGTGGAGGTCAGAAGAGGGCTTCGGATTCCCCTGGAACTAGAGTTAAGGATGGTTTGTAGCTAACATGTGGGTGCTGGGAATTGAACCCAGGTTCTCTGCAAGAGCAGGCAGTGCTCTTAACCACTGAGCCATCTCTCCAGCCCCCATTTATTAACTGTTTTGAGACAGGGTCTCACTATGTAGCCTTGGCTAACTAGGAACATACTGTACAGACCAGGCTGGCTACAACCTCAGAGAGTTGAGTGCTGGGATTAAAGATGTGTGTCACCACGCCTGGCTAAGATTTATTTTTGTGTTTGTGTGTGCAGGTGTCTAGAAGGTATCAGATCACTTGGAGCTAGAGTCATAGGTGTTTATAAGCTGCCTGAGATGAGTGTTGGGTGTTGGGAACCTACCTTAGGTCCTCTGGAAGAGCAACAAACACTCTTAAACCCTGAACCACTTTTCCAGCCCCCAAGTATTAATAATTTAAAAAATATTTTATTTTACTATTATTTAATATTGTATATATTATTTTCATTTTATGTGTATGCGTGTATTGCCTGCACGTAGGTAAGTGCACCTGTGTCTTACAATGCCCGCAGAGGACAGAAGAGGCTGTCGGATCCCCTGGAACTGGAGTTACAGACAGTTGTTAGCTGCTATGTGGGTGCTGGGAATCGAAGCCAGGTGTTCTGCAAGAACAGTCAGTGTTCTTAACCGCTAAGCTATCTCTCCAAGCCCCAATATTAATAATTTTGAAGGTTTCTCCCTTCGTTAATACAAAAGGTTGGTGGAGAGAGAGATGGCTCAGAAGTTAAGAGCACTGACTACCCTTGCAGAGGACCCAGGATTGACTCCCACTCTTGCAGAGAACCTGGGCTTATTCCCAGCACCCACATGGTAGCTAAAAAACATCCATAACTCCAGCTCCAGGGGATCCAATGCTGTCTTCTGACTTCCTCTGGCATTGCACGACATGGGTACACTTACACACATGCAGGCAATACACTCATACACACAAAATAAAAATAAATAAAATATTAAAAAAATACAAAAGGGGGATGGGCTAAAAACCCTTTCTGCAAGCATGAAAAACAGTCCAGATACCTAGCATCATGTAAATGCTAGCTGGGCATGGTGGCCTGCCTATAACCCTGGACAGTGGGAGATGGAGACAGGGGAACCTGGAGCAAGCTGGCTTAGTCTAGCCAACTGGTGAGCTCTAGGTTCTAGTGAATGGCCCTCAACAAGAGCGTGATGGAGGAAAACACTCAATGTCAGCCTCTGGCCTCCATGCACATCCATGAATACATATACAAAATGCATAGACACATGCACACAGATCACACATACACACAAAAAAAAGATAAAAATTAGGGGCTGAGGGTGTAGTTCAGTGGCAGAGAACTTGCCTACTATTTTTCAAGTCCCTCAATTCAATTCCCAGCACACACAATAAAAAAATTCAAAAACTAATAAAAAAATAGTAGTTTTGGTCTAAAATGTTTTATTTTCTACATATAAGTTGCTCATTAAGAGAAGATAAGCACTTTCAAACTTACATGAATTCTTTTTGGCCTTAAATTATTGCTCAATTAAGTACTTTAATTTTATGCTATCACAACAAATCATTTATGCATCAAAATAATGGCAAGCATACACAGCGGAAAAAAAATTTCAGAGAGCAGTAGAGGAAGATTCTCGACATCCTCCTGTAACCTGCATGGGTGTGTGTACCTGTACACTCACACAAATGCACTATATAAGCACGCAATACACAGAACACACTACATACAATTTTTTTTTCAATGAGAACTACAAATTTGGGGCTGGAGAGATGGCTCAGGAGTTTAGAGCACTGGCTGCTCTTGCAGAGGACCTGGGTTCAGTTCCCAGTACCCACATGGTGGCTAACAACCATCTGAAATTCTAGTTCCAGGGGGATCTGACACTCTCTTCTGGCCTCCACTGGCAATACACTACATGGGTGCACTTTACATGCAAGCAAAACACTCAGACACATAAAATTAAAAACAAAAAACAACAACAAAAAACAAAGAAACCTACAAATTTGGGCATGGTGGTGCTCCCCTAGGATTCCCAGCACTCAGGAGACAGAAGCAGAAGATTATGAGTTTAAGGCCAGTCTGGGCTACATACTCAGTGAGCCAAGGTCTAAAAACCAACCAACCAACCAACCAACCAACCAACCAACCAACCAACCAAACAAACAAACAAACAAATCAAACCAAAAAATGTTTCGAAAACATGCATAAGGACCTGGGTTCAATGTTCAGCACTGTCAAAAACCAACCAAATAACATAAATAAGCCCTCATAAACAAAAATTCACTGTGTATTTAAAAACGGTTTCAAATTAATTCTTCACTTCAAAACAGCCTTTCAGAAATTCTAAGTGAAAAATTATAAAACATATATAAACAACATATATGCTCTCACTGACATGGACAAATGTCCAAGACACACCATAAAATTAGAAGTCAGCTCAAAGAACATTAAGTTTGGGTACAACTCTTTTTTTTGTTCTTGTTCTCCCTATAGCCCCAGAGGGCCTCAATTTCAAAGAGATCCACCTGCCTCTGCCTCCTAAGTGCTGGAATTAAAAGCCTGCACCGCCAGGCCTGGCAGGTAGAATTCATTTTTAAATAGGGTGAAAAACATAAACCCATTCCCAAAGCAGATTGGATATTATAAACCTGACACTGTGGACACTCTGAAGAAGTGAAGGACTGGTGAGATGGTTCAGTAAGTAAAGGTACTTGCTGCCAAGCCTGATGACTTGAGTTTGATCTCCAGGACCACAGGGTGGAAGGAGGGAAGTAACTCCTGCAAGTTGTCCTCTGACCTCTATATACGTGCCTTGGTGCCTTATGGCCATTCCCACTCCCAGACACAGACACTAAATAAATGCTTTTAAAAAGTGAATAAATGCTCATATTTGTTTATAAATTTCTGTTCATGACTGTTTTAATCTTTTGCCTGTAATACAAGACAGGAATTTTGCTTTCTCTAATGAGGTGCTGTCCAAAAGAAATACAATATAACGCAATCTATGTATAACATTTAAATTTTTCTAGTAGATGCCAAAGCAGCAGAAACAGGTGAAATTAATTTAAAGATTCTATTTCATTTAACCTAATGTATCCAAAATGGTATTTCAGTATGTGAGCAATATATACAATTTTAAAGAGATACTTCTTTTGGTGGTATGCCTTTGAAATCTGGTATACATTAAACTTTAGGGTATCTCACTTTAGACTAGCCATGTTCTTAGAGTTCAATGGTGCCTGGTGACTACTGTGCTGGGCAGCATAGTTCTGGAACATGTCTAATATCTAAATTATGAATAGGACACCTAAACACAATCTTTTTCACAGAGACATGCCCATCAGAGTGGAACTAGCGACAGATGTCTTCTGTACCAAGTGCTTCCCTTGACATTTCATTAATCTTAGGTACTTATTATTACAGAGTTGGATCCCAGAACCCAAGTGTTCAGACTCCTAAATTACCAGATTTCCCCAGGCCCTACAGGGGTCCACTTATTTCAAATGATATTTGATGCACTAATACTCTGAATCAGCAGAATGACAATACAGTGATTTTTGAATTTGTAAATAATGTAAGCTTCATTATGAAATACATAAACAACTTCAACAGACTATTTTTTTCATCCCAATTAGCAATATTTGGAATAGGTATAAGCTAGGGCCCTCTGGAAGCATAAATATTTTGCAGAATGCTTTATATCTGAAATGGAATGGCTTGAACAAAAAGACTTCTAGTTAAGTGACAAAAAGTCTGGTTTTTATCTGTCTCAGAGATGTTCCTCCAGGGATACAGCTGCAAAGCAACTGGATGTCACCCCACTGACTTTCAGCAATGGGGAAATGGAGGTTCTGAGGAGCTAACAGACTAGAGGCTGATCTAGAATTCAGTTCACAAATCTTTCCTTATGTGATGCTGCCTTCTGCAGAGTCCTAACACAGGAAGAACAACAGTAAATAAATTAAACACTTAAGGCTTTAAAAGCACGAGCACCTACCCAAGCATTCCTGACTCTTTGGTCTTTATGATGTAGAGGAACATCAACAAGGTATGAAACATATTATTTCTGCCCTAGAACCAAAACAAGACAAGTTAACTAAAAAGATTCAATCTGGTAGACAAATACAGATCTTATCAATTCACATCCTACTAATTCAAAATTTCACATAATTTAGATTTTCATTCATTTATAAACAAAGTGCCTACGCTTCCTGCTAGCAAGTGGGGATACTGTGGCCAGACAGAAAAGATCCATGATCAGAGCCAAATATCAAGTAGGAAAGGTTTGACAGTAAACTAAGAATCACAAGTGTGAGGAATGCAATGAGAGGGGCTGTGGCATGCCTGAGGAACACCTGAAAGCAGCTAACCCAGCCTGGGGAGGCAGGAAATGGCTCACAGAGGGAAAGAACATAAAACTGAGACCCAAATATGAACAGAAAGGTAACAGATTGGGGGTGGGGTGTCTCACGCTTGGGGAATAGAATCAGTGAGACCTAAAAGAAAGCTCTTCTGAAGTTGGTGCCCACTCACCACACATAAAAATGTTCTATCCCCCAAACCAACACATTTAAAGAGTGTTAGGAGTCAAATAGTTTTTAGTTATACTTCTAAGTGCAATTACAGTATGCCTTAGTACACAAAGAACATGTTAAATGTAAAACTATTTCATCTGTAAATCACTAGGCATTATTTTGCTGGCTCTGAAATCCAACTATTATATGTAAATGTTGGTCTATGAAAATAGCTCTATTTCAGGATTGATTTTTACATGACTTAGGGTGTTTTTACTTAGGAATATATGAAGAGAATGGATTCATGAATATTTTTCTTTTCTTTTTTGGTCTTTTTGAGAAATATTCTTTGGGCTGGGCATGGTGGCACATTCTTTAATCCCAGCACTCAGGAGGCAGAGGTAGGCCAGGGGGATACAGGGAGATAGAGCTAGGGGGATACAGAGAGACCCTGACTTAAAAAAAAGATTGGCATGGGTTCAAAATATTTATACACTTACAAAAGTAAAATATTAAACTTGAAACAAATGAAATTTCTATCTCTGCTGGAGATCTGACAGAGAATACAGTATATAACTACAGCTAATAAGCTGAATGTGGAGGAGCCTATCATTGCAGCACACAGGAGACTGAGACAGGGGGATGGTAAGTCTGAGCTACATGGTAAAATTATAGTCAGTGTAAAATTTCTTTGTAAAGATACTGACAGCAGCAATAACAAAAAATTGCAAAGATCACCAAAAAAATTATGCTTACAACCAAGAATAAAATGCCTGTATGGGCATGTAAACTGGAAAGATAGGTTTTTTTTTTTTGGTCTTTTTGAGACAGGTCTCTCTGTAGTCCCAGTTGGCCTGGATCGCACTTTGTACACCAGGCTGGCCTTGAACTCACAAAGATCTGCTTGCCTCTGCCTCTGCTGCGATTGCTCAAGAAAGCCGTTTTAAAAATATATTTATTATTTTTATTTTATTTATGAGTGTATTGCCTCCATGATGTAAGTATACCCATGTTGTGCAATGCCCTCGGAGGTTAGAAGAGGGTGTTGGATCCCCTGAAACTGGAGTTATGGATGGTTGTTAGCCATCATGTGGGTGCTGGAAGTCAAACCTGGGTCCTCTGCAAGAGCAGCTAGTGCTCTTAACCACTGAGCCATCTCTCCAGCCCCAAGACAGATTTTTTTTTTATAAAGTCATTTGGTAATATATATTTTCAAACAGTTGTAAAATACTCTGTAGTTTAGAATTACAATTTTTAGAAATTCGGGCTAAAGAAATGATCCAAAATGCAGACAGTTAGATACATCAAGAGGAAACGTCAATGTTTGTAATGGAGGAGTTGAATAACGCAAATGTTTAACAGTAGGAAAACGGTTGGGTAAATTATGCTATGATTTTTTTAATGGCCACTAACAAATATTTTATGAAGATTTTCCATGGTAAGGAAAATTATATCATAAAGTTAATTATTAAAAGAAAAATATAAGACTATAGAAACATGATTTCAACCTATAAAAAATACAGCAAGACCCAAATGTTTTCTAAAAGGCAACCTAACTACCATCAACAATGGCTGTCTCTCAAAGAATGATTTTCTTTTTCTTTACCCTTTCCAAATTAAACAGTATTGCTTTCACAGTAAAAAGAATAAAAAAGAAATACATTTCCTTTAATTTAACAAGTTTACTATCTAGTCTACAAATGTGATTCTAAAGCATGTGTGTGGTACGTCTGTAATCACAGGCTTGAGAGGCTGATGTAGGAGAACTGCAGCTAGTTAGAGTCAGCCTGGATGGAGCGAGCCCCCATCTCCCAAACAACAAACCAACAAACAACAAACAGATTCTAATTTTTAAAATGCTATAAAAATGTCATCTGTGATATTCCTAAACAGCAACTTGTATATATAGAAATACCTTCAGGGCTAGGGATACAGCTCAATGATAAAGTACATGATGCCTGGTACACATGAAACCCTGGGTTCAATCCCCAGTAGTGGAAAAAAAAAAAAAAGGAAAGAAATACCTTTGGAAGATTGTAGACATGGCGCTGGTAGATTAGTTCATAATGTGGAGGGTTGACAGCACTTTGATAAACACAAAACACATTTTCATTTGTAACATCTGTGAAGAAAATATGTCATATTAAAGAACTAAATCACTAAAGAGACTTCATAAGAAAATCTCAATACATTCTTTTAGGAGAGGTGGTACCTGGCTTATTTGGTGTTTGAACAAAGTGCTGAGAAGTAAATGTTTTTCCATCAGGATACTTAGGATGTGGAGGTAATCTGGAGTCGAGGTAGGTACAAAACACATGCATGATGATCTGAAGTTGAGAAAATACTTGTTCAAGTTAGCATAGAAATCTAGTACAGATACAGACCTTCCAGAACATCTGTACTTAAAAATGATTCAAACTTGAAGATTTTCCCTAAAGAATTAGCAAAAATGCTTTCAAATGGTTATATGTAAGACAAAATTTATACAACAAATTTGTAAAAATTACACAATCCAGACAACAAACATTCTTTTAGTCAAAATAAATTTTTTTTTTTTTGGTCTTTTTGAGACAGGGTCTTCCTGTAGCTCTGGCTGGCCTGAACTCCCTATGTAGACCAGGCTGGCCTTGAACGCACAGAGATCCTCCTGGGATTAAAGGCACGCACCACCACACTAGCTAAAATAATTATAAAGAAATTCATTTATAGAATTCTCCTAAGTCATAAAAGAATTTAGTGTGTTTAAGAGGTAAGACTAGCTGGGCGTGGTGGTGCACACCTTTAGTCCCAGCACTCAGGAGGCAGAGGCAGGCAGATCTCTGTGAATTCAAGGCTAGCCTGGTTTTTATAGCAAATTCAGGGCAGCTGGGGCTATAGGGAGACCCTGTCTCAAAAAGACCAAAAAAAAAAAACAAAACAAAACAACAACAACAAAAAAACCCCTAAATTTATGGCTCAGATAATCTACTCCAGGGCTGGGATGTAGCCCAGTGGGAAGAGGACTTGCCTGATAGCACAAGGCTCTGGCCTCCATCTCCAGTACCAACAAGACCCCCCACCCCACAACATACACAAAAATCTACTCAAAATTGAAAAAAATATTTTTGCCACCAGATTAACTTTTTCTCTCTTTTTTTGAGACAGGGTTTCCCTGTAGCCCCAGCTAGACTGAACTCGATATGCAGACCAGGCTGGCCTCGAACTCAGAGATCCGCCTGCCTCTGCCTCGGAGTAAAGGCATGTGCCACCATGTCAGTCTTCTCTCTTAAAAAAAAAAATCCTATTTTTATTTTATGTGTATGAGAATACTGCCTTCATGTATGTAAGTATACCCATATTGTACAATGCCCGAGGAGGTCAGAAGAGGGTGTTGGATCCCCTGGAACTGGAGTTAAGCCACCATATGCGTGCTGAGATCTGCCCCCGGGTCCTCTGTAAGAGCAGTCAATGCTCTTAACCACTGAGCCAGCTCCCTAGCCCCTAACTTATTCTTTTACTAAGATGTTTTCCCATTAAAACCTCCATTATGTGGGTGGGATAAGGCATGTAGGGTGGGATAATTTAAACAATCAAACTTATTTTATTTTCATTTCTGGTCCATCTGTGCCTTCTCACCCCCCGTGAAGTTGAACCCAAGGTCTCACACATGTTAGGCAAGTGCTATGTCACCCATCTACACCCTCAGCCCTTTTTAAATTTTGAGAAAAGGTATCACTAAGTTACCCAGGCTGGCCTTGACCAGACTTTGAACTAAACTTGCAATCCTCCTGCCTCAGCTTCCTGAATAGCAGGGATTACAGCTACACCTGGCCTGGCCTTGCTTTCTGTTAGTGGAGGATTTGCATCCACATAGGTGCCAGAAAAGCCAAGATAAACTGCATACATTAGATTTTCAATTTGAAGATCAACACTAAAAACAATTTTCATATATGTATTACAGAAAACAATGATTTTAAAAAAATATTTAAGTACATATAAACTTTTATACTTCTTGATTTGGTAAGAATGACTTTAGGAATCTTTCTTAAAAGAAAAATCCCAAATAAGAAAGGAGTGTATGTCATAATATTCTTTGCTACATTATTTGAGATCAAAGACCAAGCTGGGTGTGATGGCATACCTTTAATCCCAGCACTTGAGAGGCAGAGGCAGGCTGATCTCTGTGAGATGGAGGCTAGTCTGGTCTACATAGTGAGTACCAGGTGAGCTGGGGAGACTCTGCCTCAAAAAAAAAAGCAGCTGGGTTAAGATGCTGTTACTACTATACTTCACCATCCTTAGTTTCTAAATTCTTTCTAATACTTAAATAAAATCATACAAATATACTGAGTTAAAACTATGAAGAAAATAAGGACTTACAGCAGAATCAGTGGGCAGGTCTGTATCCCACTTGCGACCTTTGAAGTCTCCACCTCTGTTCCATCGAAATGAACTCATACAGCCTCCCTGGGAAAGTTCTGTACAACAGAAGTAAAATTTCAAAAGATGAAACATAACAAAAGAACCATCCCCAAACCAACTAGATGATTAAAATAAAGAAAGTAGTCATAAAAACCTCCTGATCAGAACACCCAAAATAAATACAAGATATAAAAGCAAGTAATACTACAAAGAATCAGACAAGTCCAAAATATGGAATAAGACTACTCTGGATTCTTCAAAAAGTCACTGGACAATTAGAAGGTCTGAATATCGACTGCTGATAAGAGAATTTTTAATTTGTGATAACTGTGTCATAGGTAAAAGCATATTCTTATTCTTAGCAAAACAGATGTTGAAAAGTAATGATATCTGCAATGTAATTTCAAAAGAACATGAGCATAAATGCATTCATTTATAGACAAAACAAAAGAAAACAAAAGAAAATGTTCATTCTTGGTAGTGGTACGCTGTTCACTGTAGACCAGGCTGGCCTTGAACTCACAGAGATCCACCATGCCCAGCTTCCTAACCTGGGTCTTTTTGAGACAGGGTTTCCCTATAGCCTCAGCTGGCTTGGAACTCGCTATGTAGGCCAGGCTGTTCTTGAACTCAGAGATCCGCCTGCCTCTGCCTCCCAAGTGCTGGGATTAAAGGCATGCACCACCATGCTTGGCTTAGATTTTTATATTTTGATATATGATACTTTAATATACATATATTCAATTTATATGTACTTTTCTGGTCATACAAATACTATCCATAGCTGGGCGTGGTGGCGCATGCCTTTAATCCCAGCACTTGGGAGGCAGAGGCTGGCAGATTTCTGTGAGTTCAAGGCCAGCCTGGTCTACACAGTGAGTTCCAGGACAGCTGGGGCAACAGGGAGACTCTGTCTCAAAAAGACCAAAAAAAAAAAAAGAAAAAAACCAAAACCCCCCCCCCCCCAAAACCACTATCCATAAAACAATTTTGCTAAAATATTTAAATCTGAATCTATAGGAAATATAGAGGACAAAGGAGGGTGTATAAAACTACACCATGTATATATTCAGTAAAACCTAGATCATGCATCTATAGTTTTAACAATCTAGAACAGTCTAACTCTTTCAACAAATACATTGCAAAGATTTTTTTTTTTTAAATATTTTATTGGGGCTGGAGAGATGGGTCAGTGGTTAAGAGCACCGACTGCGAGCACCGACTGCTCTGGTAGAGGACCCGGGTTCGATTCCCAGCACCCACACGGCGGCTACGAACCGTCCTTAACTCCAGTTCCAGGGGAATCTGAAGCCCTCTTCTGACCTCCGTGGCACTGCACGACACGGGTGCACTCACATCCATGCAGGCAATACACTCATACACACAAAATAAAAATAATGTGCAGAAGAGGGCTTCAGATTCCCCTGGAACTGGAGTTAAGGATGGTTCGTAGCCGCCGTGTGGGTGCTGGGAATCGAACCCGAGTCCTCTGCCAGAGCAGTCGGTGCTCTTAACCACTGAGCCATCTCTCCAGCCCCAAGATTTTTTTTTTTTTAAAAAAGGATAGACAGGAAACCTAAACTTAAAATAGATCAATTTACCATAACACATATTTGAATTTTATTACTTATTTAATATTTTATTATTTTTATATTTTTATGTGTATGTGTGTATTTCCTGCATGTAGGTAAGTGCACCTGTGTCGTGCAATGCCCACGGAGGACAGAAGAGGCTGTCGGATCCCCTGGAACTGGAGTTACAGACAGTTGTTAGCTGCCATGTGGGTGCTGGGATTCGAACCCGGATCTTCTGCAAGAACATTCAGTGTTCTTAACCACTGAGCCATCTCTTCAGCCCCTATTTTATTTTACTTTATTATTTTATTTGGTCTTTTTGAGACAGGGTCTTCCTGTAGCCCCAGCTGACCTGGAACTCACTATATAGACCAGGCTGGCCTTGAACTCACAGAGATCCATCTGCCTCTGCCTCCCAAATACTGGGAATAAAGGCATGCGCCACTAATCCTGGCTTAAATCTTGATTTCAAACAAAAAATTTTTTATTTTTGTCTTTTTGAAGCAGGGTCTCCCTGTAGCCCCAGCTGTCCTGGAACTCACTATGTAGACCAGGCTGGCCTTGAACTCACAGAGATCCACCTGCCTCTGCCTCCCAAGTGCTGGGACTACAGGCGTGCGCCACCACGCCTGGCTACAAACAATATTTTCTAAAAAATGATATATTTCATGAAATGGTAGGATATTTGATCACAAACTGGACATTTCATGAAATAAAGGAAATACTACAAATATTAGGTATGATAACTATATTGTGGTTAGGTGGAGCAGTATGACAGCATTTTAAAAAGCTTTATCTTTCAGAAATATATAAGGAAATATTACAGACGAACTGATAACTGACAGACAGTTCAACCGAAATGAAGGCGCTCTACAAATGGCGTGGCCCTTGCTAACAGTGTCAGATAAGGCGTGCTTCAAATAAAACAGAAGAAAATACAGACAGGACTGGGTGACAGGGACGGGGGTATGTAGAAACATTTTTGGTTTTTGGAGGTGCTGGGCACTGAATTTATACCAGTAAATGCTCTACCACTGAGTTCCATCACCAGCACTATTTTTATCTAGTGTTTTGTGTATGTTTGAAATTCTATGTGGCAAATTTTTAGAAAATCATGAAAAAAATGCTTCCTAAATCTCAATCCAAACATAGAGGTAAAGGAACAGCATTGTAATATTTTCAAATTAAAATGTATGATAATGTGAATACTGAAACACTATTTTTATAACTTGCTTTAGAGAAGTAACACTTTACAATTTATCCTAATTAAAAATAATTCTAACTTTATGAACTGTTCCCTAAGCAGAGAGGTATACTGATATACATGGGAATATGGGGAGCTGAGCTTTCTGACCCCCAGGTTAATCCCTCAGATCACACTCCCCCAAATTATAAGACTATTAACAAAAATAAAGAGAAACATCTTAACACAGAAATGATAAAACTGGAATCAGATAAGCACATTGACATTACAAAGAATACCACAGTGGTACACAATTCTTGGTAGTGTCAGAGTAGAAGTGAATGTAACATCAGAATAATATATATTATTAATATAGAGATATTATTAATATAGAAATATATATTTTCAAGGATAGTCTTTTGGCAATTCTTAGTGTATAAAAGATTGAAAAGTTGTTCAAGAAGCCTTAATTAAGCTGTACTTAAATAAAGCTTTCTTTTTCCTCTTCAAATCAAGTTACCTTTGATTCTTTCAAACAAGTATTCCTGATTTGGTGTTAGATCTAGATACTGCACAATTGTATTCAGAGTTGGAATGAGAGGGGCTTTGACCAGGGCAGCTTGTTTCAAGCTGGTAATACTAGCCTCTGTTAAAACAAAACACAGAGAAGACAGATTACTCATCAGGAGTGACTGTAAGAATATCAAATGTTCTTCTCTCCTGTCATTAAGCAACAGTTCCTCACTGCCTTCAGGTCTTTACAAGTCAGCAACAGCTTCCTGACACTTGAGCTCAGAGTTCACCTCCCCTCTGTAAAGATGAGTGACAACACCTCCTAGTGCTTTTAACACTTAGTACTAATTATTTTCTTTTCTATAATGTCTGTCTCATCGATTAGAAAGAAAGCTCAAGGAAGGCAGGGATTTGGCTCATTTTCTGCAGGGCCATACCATACCCAATGCTTAGACTAATACCTAGCATACAGTAGGCATTCAATATTTGTCAAAAGAATAAAGGAAAGCAATATTTTTAAAAAGATTTATTATTTTTAATTATATGTTATGTGTGTGTATCTGTTCACTTGAGTATAGATACCCATAGAAGCCTGAGGTACTGATTTCCTGGAGCTGGAGTACAGGTGGTTGGTGGGTGCTGGGACCCAAACTCAGGTCCTCTATAAGAGCGGTAGGTACTCCTAACTGCTGAGCCATCTCTCCTGCCCTGCAAAAATCAATCTTTACTTTCATTTATCTATTTTACCTGTAAACTTACCATTTCAAGCAAGGTGGCCAGATTTATACCCCCAGGTGTGCGCGCGTGCGTGCACGCACGTGCGCACAGAGTAACATCCCTTGCTTAAAAGCAGCCAAATCCATGCTGGCAAATCTATAAACAACTAGTGCACAGAAAATTTGTGTTATAAAATAGGCTGCGTTAGAAGCTGCCCATAGGGTAAGTAGACTTGTGACAGTGATTTCTCATATACTGTCAAAGAAAACCATGCAAAAAAAAAAAAAAAAAAAGTCTAACCTTAGCAGTAGTAGCCAATGTTTGAAAAAGGCTGCTTTTTTTTTGGGGGGGGGGTCTTTCTGAGACAGGGTCTCCCTGTAGCTCCAGCTGGCCTGGAACTCACTAAAACATCTGCCTGTCTCTGCCTCTGAAGTGCTAGGATTAAAGTCATGCCGTGCCCAGCCCTGAAAAAGACATTCTTACAAGTGATATTAAGTTCGAGTATTAACTAGCATAAACTTTTTGAAAGGAATATGTATTAAAAACCTTAAAATACATGTATTAGTTGAGGTAACAACTCTACAATAAGAAATTATCCTAAAGAAATAATTATGGGGTCAGGTATGGTAGTCAAACACCTGTAATCCCAGTACTTGAGAGTCAGAGGGAAGATAATCAAGAGTTCAAGGGTGGCCTGGTCTACATTTTGAATGCTAGGCTATCCAGAGCTACAGAGTGAGACCTTGTCTGAAAAACAAAGCAAACAAAATACCATATATACATATGAACAGCTTGTGTGACTAGTCACAGTAGACAAAGTATGGAAATAATCCAAACTCCAATCAATTGATGACTGGGTAAACAAAATGTGGAAGATGCATTCTGAGTATTATTCAGCCATAAAAATAAAGTACTGCTAAATGTGACCACATGGATGAAACTCAAAAACATTATAGTAACTGGAAGAAGTCAGTCACAAAGGACTACATACTGAATGACACCATTTATATGAAATAGCCCAAACAGGCCTATCTATAGAGACAGAAAATAGACTGGTACTTGCACAAGGCTGGAGGAAATGGATGAAATAGAGTGACTGTTGATGGGTTACTCTATGGTGTTTCTTTTTTGGGAGATGAAATCTTCTAAAATTAACCACGGTGATGGTTTAAGCCAAACTGCTAGACTCTCCACTTTCAACAGGCAAATTGTATGGTAGGTAAATTATTCCTCAATAAAGTCAATACATTTAATAACCAATTATAGACATTTTCTTCCTCATCTGAAGACAAAAAGGAGATGTTAAATAGCCCATTACAAGACAATGTTTTCCACCTGGTGGATTTATTGAGAGTGTATCACACACTAGGCTCTACTTTACATACCTCCAATCTGCAGTTCTGGACAGCCCATTCGTCTCATCTGGGTGCTAACAGACTCAATCTCTTGTACAAGTGGCACTAAGATTGTCTCACTGATCCACTAGGAAGAAAAGAAGTACAGCTTTTGGAGTCATCAGCCCAAAATACTTCTCAAATAATTATTTTCATTTTTTCCAAGCAACTCTTTGTATCTTATGTTGACTAACAGAATCATAAAGTTTAGAGAAAGAAGGGGGCAGTAGCCACATGACGTCAAGGGTAAAGAGGCCACTGGAGTGCAACCTGTCATGTTCTTAATTGTGTATGTTTTCTTCCTAGAAAAAAAGTAAACTTTTGTTAAATTTTTTCTAAAACTTTTTTCCAAGCTGGGTATAGTAGCTCATGCCTGTAATCTGAGCACTTGGGAGGCTGAGGCAGGAGGACTGTCACAAGTTTGAGACCAGCTGGGCTATTTATCAAGTATTAGGCCAGCCAGAACAATATAGCAAGACCCTGTTTCCAAATAAAACAAAATATCTTCTTTGATTATTATTCTTGGCTGAAAGAAAACAATCTTCGGTTTACATTTCTAGAGGTAATTACATATTTATTATCATAGCATTTTTATTGGTTTATAATCGGCAAAACAGTTTTCTAACTAGCATAGCTGATTAGCTTGCAATAGGCTTACCCAATTCCTTAACTATGTGGAAAAACAGATTTATTATATTTGAAATCAGTTTTGTGAATATTACTTTTAAGACTGGGAATTTCAAATTTCCTTTTCCATAGCTAGTATAAAACTAAAACTAAAACTAATTTGGGGATATGAAAAAACCGTCCAAAAAAAAAGTCTCTGGTATGTTATATGTGACTGTTTTGTGAATTGATAGTAACTTCAACCACCACTTCTGTTTCTATGCTTTTGTTTAACTATAAAAGGACATAAAAAAAGTTTCATATGAAGCCGGGTGTGGTGGTCACGCCTTTAATCCCAGCATTCTGGAGGCAGAGGCAGGTGGATCTCTGTGAGTTCAAGGCCAGCCTGGTCTACATTGCAAGCTCCAGGCCAGCTGGGGCTACTGGGTGACACTATCTCAAAAAAAAAAAAAAAGGTTTCACATGAAACCCAAACCCACAATTTCTTTTAAGTTTGAAAACCTCTAAAAACTGAAAGCCTCTCTTTTTTATTTGTATTATTATTTAAAAAAATATTTTATTATTTTTATGTGTATGAGTGTACTGCCTGCATGTATGTGAGTGCACCCGTGTTGTGCAATGCTGCGGAGGTCAGGAGAGCTTCAGATTCCCCTGGAACTGGATGCAAGGACGGTTTGTAACCGCCATGTGGGTGCTGGGAATTGAACCCGGGTCCTCTGCAAGAGCAGTCAGTGCTCTTAACCGCTGAGCCATCTCTCCAGCCCCATTTGTATTATTTTTAATTATGTATATGTGTATGTATATGTGGTGGTGAGGTATGCGCATGTAAGTGCAAGTGTCCTTAGAGGCCAGAGGTGTCAGATACCTTGGAGCTGTAAGTTATGGGTGGTTGTGAGTCACCTGTTATAGGTGCTGGGAATGGAACTAGATCTTCTGTAAGAGCACTATGTCCTCTTAACCATGGGGCATCTCTCTAGTTCCTGAAAGTCTTTCTGTAATGAGCTAACATGTCTGACAAGTCTTTATATTCCAAATACTAGCATTTTCAGGCTCGTTTCTAACTGGAAATAAAACAACATGCAGTTCCAAGGACATCCTGTCACTTATTTCTTCTTCCAACATTATTACATGCAAAGTACTTGCCAACTATTCTTTGGCTACAGCAAAACTGCTTAATTAAAAGAGAGTTATAGGCCCCATCCCCAGAAATTCTCACTGAGACTGATGGTACTGGACTCAGAAATTTTTCTATTTATTTTTATTTTTTTCTTAAAATAAGCTCTCACTATATAGCTCAGGCTACCCTTGAACTCTCACTCTTGCCAAAGGTTCCACAGTGCTGGTGTTATATGCATGTGCCACCAGGCCTGGCTAGTTACTCTTCCCTCTTGATAACCTATTTAAATGATAATAAATGAAAAAAAATTCTTCTAAGTTGTGGAAGAAGGAGCCAATCTGTCACAGACCCTGGGGCACACACAGGTTAGCACCTACAGAGTGGGAGAAGCAGCGGGGTTGGAAACAGAATTCCCTACTTCTTTGTGCTACAGTGTTGACTAGGTCAAGAATAACAGAGCGTTTTTCTAGGGAAATCAAAGAAATTGTATGTATATTCTGAATTAGCTTCAAGTATGTCTGTTTCCTGAGGACTCCTTTGTGTTTCCCTCACAATTCTAGGTAAATAACAAATGGACAGAAAATCTTTGGTGGAAATAAAATTGGGAAAGGGGAAAAGAGTCTCATGAAAATAAGTAAATGACATGTTTATCCTTAAATAAGCACCATTCAAATTGTACCTTTAATATTAATTAATCCTAACATTTTAATTAATAACCTCAATTGATAGTCTAATAACACAGTTTGTATACTAAGATAAATTAATCTTGTCCAATGTAATGGTGTAATGACAACTCACATTTCTAAATTTAGCTGTCCATGAATCCATATGATCAAGAAGTTGTCTGTTCATTGTCACTCTTGCCCAAACCTATTAAAAATACACATAAAACAGAACAATCAAAAAGGAAAAACCTCATCACTACACTCTCAAAAATATCTGAACATTAAGAAAAAAACTGCTTGAGAAAAATCAATATTCATTTAATTAGTATTCAGTAATTTTCTTATTACCCACTTATGGTTGTTTTTCATGCACAAATAGTCTTTTAAAAGTTCTTTACATTAGTAAGTTTAGAGAGAGAGAGTGAGAAAGAGAGAGAGAGCAAGCATGCAGGTTCATATGTGTTTTGCTTTTAAATACAAAATAAAAATCTCCATCTGGTATTAAACTGATTAAGTACAGACTGCCAAATGTATACATTTTAAAGTAAGAGTCTGGTACTCATTAAATACAGTAGATACACAGATACTTGGAAACTTTTTTTTTCAGTGCTAGGAATCGACCTTGTGCACATCAGGCAAGTGCTCTACCACTGAGTTACATGCCCAGTCCTTGAAAGACTTTTTTTCTAATGAAAGTAGACAAATACTTTAGGCTGGGCATTTATGTCAACTATGTATCTATCATAAGCACTAAAAAATGTATGGTATAATTTAGTTGTAGGCACAAAAAACAGAAGCTATTCCACTGCTTAATGAATGTCAAATTTATATTTCTAATCAGTGAAAGTGAAGATTATAGGAAAAAATATTCTGGAAATAAAATACTTTCTAACAATCTGAAAAACCATAATATATGAAGTCACTTTTATTTCTAGTTACCTCTTCTGCAGCTTGCTTAGAACTGAGATCAGCTTCATCTTTGTTAGCACATGGGGCCTGAGACCTACAGGCAAGCTGATACTGAAACTTCTTTAAAGTTTGTGCATAATCCCCCACAGAACGGCTATAGTTCCAGAAAGTAGGGCTGGTAGAAGGGGAGGCAGCATCTGGACTCCCTGCAATGATGAATTGAAAGAGTTTCAGTCTGGTAAAGGGATTTTTCATGGAGTACTAACGCAGACACTGGGTATACAGGAAGAGGAAACAGCACTCAAGAATCAGAAGATAAACCTTCATCAGCATCTCTCCTCCTCCTCCCCAACATTGTCTTCTCTTTAGAGACCACTGGCTCCTTGTATTCAATATTAAAAAGAAGTTGGGCCTAGTGGCTCATGCCTTTAATCTCAGCACTCAGGAGACAGAGGCAGGTGGATCACTATGAGATCAGGCCAACCTGGTCTACATAGTGAGCTCCACCCCAGCTGGAACAGGGAGACCCTGTCTCAAAAATCAAAAAAATAAAATAAGGCTTCTGCCAAGGTACGTATCACACTTGAGGGTTATAGTTTATATCTGCGTTCCCAAAGTGAATCTGAGCTCTTTTAGGGCTCACGTGATTTTTTCCTTTTTGCATCTAGCCCAGAGCACAATAAAGAAACTCCGAAGTGCTGAGACTAAAGGCGTGCACCACCACACCCAGTCTGGAACAGTGCATTAACCAAAGCAACTTAAAAAAATACACAGCAAAAGCAGTGCCAAAACAGCACCTTTCTGTAATGACAACATCACTGTAACAAAATAATGGCACAAAATGGGAGCTGGAGAACCTTAAAGACCCAAGAACCAATATAAAAGATTTGAAATCTGGTGACAGAGCACTCCAGATGACATACAACATGCACCATAACTATCTTAGGCACATTACTGAAAAGAATGCTGGAGCTAGTGAAAAGAGCACGGATGACTAGTGCTAAAAGTGCAGAAGGAACTGAATCTCCGAGGGCCATCACCAGTGAGCTGATGCCATGGCTGCTCTGGAGGACTGCAGGTCAGAGAAAGCTGAGTGTGACTCGTGCTTGAGTGGGAATTGGAGATAGGGAGTTAGGTTCAGGAGAGATGGAATGCTGGACTGATACCTTCTAGCTGTACCATTCTCTGTTCCCAGCACACAGTGAGGAACCTCCAAGGGACACATTTTCAATGAATAAAGAAAAAAAAAGAAAATCTGTCCACAGGCATCAGGGGTTAAAGGAAGCTACCTGCTTTAGGCTATTGAGAGATAACTTTTAAAAATCCCTGAGGTTTTAATGTTTCTTTTTACTTTTCTATTCTTCTCTCTTCTTGGATTTATAGGTGTAAATTCATCTTCACATGGGTGATGAATGCCCAATTATATTATCTGTGAGGTCCAAGAAGACTGAAGCATTAAGAATTACTTAAGGGCACTACTATCCTCAGGCCTCTTGGGGTAAGTCTATAGCGCAGCTCTCCTCGCCGGGACTCCCTAAGCCACATTCACCCGTCCATCCGTCCCCCCCCCAATATTATCTGTGAGGTCCAAGAAGACTGAAGCATTAAGAATTACTTAAGGGCACTACTATCCTCAGGCCTCTTGGGGTAAGTCTATAGCGCAGCTCTCCTCGCCGGGACTCCCTAAGCCACATTCCCCCTTCCATCCGTCCCCCCCCCC